AAGATTCCGATCGTATCCGGGGCTCTTATCAAATGCTGACGTAGTAGGTTTGTTCATAAACAAGTATCGTTAATGGTCTGAGAGCATTTTACGGAGAACGTTTGTTATATTCTTAAGACCTTTCGACGGTCAAGCAGTCATGGTCGAACCAGATGAAAACCATCGTTACGCCCTGCAGCCCAATAACCTATGTCAACCACTATGGTCACAGTCAGCGCGGAAGACAGGGGCATTATGGAAATCTTCCGATTTTGTCCTGTTTATTTTTTGGAAATGAGAGTAGTTTCAGTTATTTAGAACTTCGGATGCCTTCTATATGTATTCGGGTGTCCATCTCTTCTCTCGCTTGGAAGCTTGATCCAGTGCTCTAAATTCTCCTAACACTAGATTTTGCGTATGTTATTCTGTTTTCTTTGGCTGACTACTGTAGCTTAAGTTGGTTTCTTGATATCCCACAGTCATATAGGCGGCTTAGATCTGCGAAATCTGATGTCAGGCTCTTAGCTAACAATTTTGACGTGGGCAACAAACCGGGAGAGTAGTTAAGAAGTGACGAAAACGAGGAAAGCCGGGAGAGGATACTAAGTAAAGCGTCATTTATTGTAGTCGGATTCTATCAGGCCATCGCGTTCTGGTATCCGTTATTCGGCAGTCTAACATGCAACCATGTCCCAATTCGTTCCTATATTTTCTTTCTGACTTATAACTGACAACCTCGCCTCGTGTTTTAGCCTGATCCTGCCCAAGACAGGATGGTTTACCATAGTAAATGAACGTAAGCCATCCATACTGCGTAACTTGGCCAGCAGAAGCCGCAAAGGTTAGGAGTTCTGCCATGACTGAACACAAACGCCTCATCCGATTTCACCTATACAATGTTCATTGAATACTTTAGATTAGAATTACTTGGGTACCTACATGTCTTTTTTTCCTAGTGCGGAACTTCCCCATCAATATAATGTGTACTTTTAACTCTGGCGGGGTCATTATCGACGCCGGAGGTGGCAGACACTTGCTAAATCTGCGCTAGCCCTCCAATTTTAACAATATCTCGCCCCACCTCTCTCGGCATGCATGCCATCGAATAGTTTTGGTAGTAAAGACTCCTGGCGTATCACACAAAACCATTTTGGATTTTTTTGGGTGAGAATCATGTGTAACTTCTTAGCTTATCATGCATTAATACTGTCCACACTCGAAAAATATGGTGGCCTTGAACCTGTTTCTAAAAGTATTAGTTATTTGTGCCTGGTACGGCTGTGACCATACCGGATTTAGGCGATCTCGGTGAATTTGCCGATCGTGCCTGTCTACGCGTAACCATCTGCGACAGCAGATCAGGAGAACTCTACCCACTCTCTTCTCCAGCAACGAAGACCGAATACTGAAAGTCCAATTACCACCTCCACTTCTTGACAAACTCTGTTCAGTCAAGTTTTGGTCCGTCCTTTTCGACGGCTCTAGGTGGGCTGCGACGTCAGATCAAGTGTAGGGCATTGGACTCATGTGGCGAACAACGAAGAACGTGGTCAGACCGCCTTCGTCTTCTTTCCTGGGTGGTCTGAGATATCCTCATGGTGCCGTCACAAGTACGAACAGTCTCATTTGAGAGGAAGTTGGAGTACTTCGTTCGGAGGATGTTCCCCAGGTTATGGTGGTCAAACGCCTCCAGTTTTGTCTTCGCTTTCACTCACAGGACCGGACGCTCACAACCGTATGGGAGGGCGGACCGGATGGACGTTTGATGGCTCGGAAGCTTATTTAATGATGACTCATGGTCACCATGTCACAGCGGTGTAATTGGATTTTGCAGTATTTCGTAAGGTTGTCGTCGTGCCAAGCCTCAGCCCTCCGTGTCCTCGTATCGTTGTCGCTACCTGTCCGTGACTACTTACTTGTCGGGCCAGTAAGTCTGTCTATTTTGCAGTGAACCTTTGCTGAAGTCCATTCCACTGTCCGCAAACCCTACGTATGCCTGATAGCCAGGAGTTAGGCTCTCGGGTAGACCTGCTCTCCCGTGTCTTTAAAATGCAAATCAACCGGTCAGCTCGCCATCATATATCTCCATAGTCACTAGGGTCCGCGTGTGCCAAAAATCACTTCGGTTCGTTCCCCACTACGATTGAACGTCCGGTCCTACGCGTGAAAGCCAAGACAAAACTGGAGGCGTTTGACCACCATAACCTGGGGAACATCCTCCGAACGAAGTAATCCAACTTCCTCTCAAATGAGGCTGTTCGTACTCGTGACGGCACCGTGAGGATATCTCAGACTATCTAGGAAAGACGACGAAGGCGATTTGACCATGTTCTTCGTTGTTCGCCACATGAGTCCAATGCCCTACACTTGATCTGACGTCGCAGCCCACCTAGAGCCGTCGAAAAGGACGGACCAAAACTTGACTGAACAGAGTTTGTCAAGAAGTGGAGGTGGTAATTGGACTTTCAGTATTCGGTCTTCGTTGCTGGAGAAGAGAGTGGGTAGAGTTCTCCTGATCTGCTGTCGCAGATGGTTACGCGTAGACAGGCACGATCGGCAAATTCACCGAGATCGCCTAAATCCGGTATAGTAACAGCTGCATCAAGTACATGTCGCCAACATATCATTACCTCCGTCTTTATATTCATATCGCAGAGTTTCATGCGTTTACGGTCGTTGGACGCTAGATCTATCATCGGTGGTGATACTTGTGTGAAGAACAGTCGCCACACTCTAGCATAACCTCTTGCCAAACGGCTTCTCATAGAGAGACTTACGTTCGAGCGTTGAGAAGAGTTAAACTTCATTCGTAAAAAGTGGGCCAGTAAAAAAGGTGTGGGCATTGCATCAATTTTCACCAGTATGCAACTGACCAGTCGCTTCTCTTCCCAAAACCACACTCATCAGCGCTCGCTTATCCTGCGATTTCGAAGACCTGCGATTTCGAAGACGTAACAGCCACCCTGACCGCCGCCTAAGAGTGACAGCTTCCGAGCTCAGTGCTAGTTTCTAGATGGCTTTAACATAAGAACCACTAGCTACAGCAGAAGCGCAACATGGCTACTAGGAAATTATGATGTTTGAAGAGTTAAAACTTGTATAGTTTGGCGATATGTCTGTCATGAGAATACACCGAGCTGACTCGCAATTATAAAAAAACAGGGACTGCATTTTCACGACACGATGGGCAGTCGCGGCGCGAAAAACTAAGATGATAGCCAGAGGCCTCTACCGACTCTAAATTACCTATCTCTTCCACCGGTAAATAAGTACCTATTCCCTTCCTCTCCCCCTCCCTCCGGTGCATTCTTTAGAGCCCTAGCCTATCAGACAGAAGTCAGAACCTTCCCTGCATCTTGAGGCATTCGCAGCCAGCCTTGAAAACAAGCCGATTTCCCATAAATTCACAGTCGATCGAATTATACAGGAATCTGATTCTTACGTGACCCAGACTGAAAGTGTGTGTGCCTGGCGTAGACAAGACAGAGAGGTCATCTCGAGAATCATCTGTTCATTCCTCTTACACTTTTAAAACCTACATACATTGGTTGCATACTTTTAGAGGCAGAAGCCATCTAATCAGGCCACACAAGATTATTCTTGGTTTTTGGCAAGCATAACTCTCAGTAGAACTCGGCAGGTGTTGAGCAACACCTACAAAAGTACAACCCACCAGTTTCGCGTATTTCAGCTTACTTCATGTGGGCTGGGTGAAGCTCTGAAGTACTCTTATTGGCAGGACAGAATTATTATAGGGAGCAAAGTCTGTAATGAATGTGTAGTTTTTTTATTTGGTGGGGGTAATAGATGAAGCCTTTGGAAACTATTGTTTACATGCCGGTGTGTTGTATACGGCTGTGCATGCATTCCGAAAAGCTATCACTGCTAAAATAGTATTCCCATAATTTAAGTAGTATTATTTTTAAAACTCTTTTAGATTGACGTGGTGTCTAGTTCAGGTTCAGTGTGGAGGCCAAACAAGAGACACATATAATCATCCAAACTTTTCTTGAAGATCTGTAGAGACCTAGCCTTCACAACTACTTGAAGGAGACCATTCCACTGTTCTGTTATTCGTCACGTGAAGAATTCAGAACGAAGGTTCCGCCTGGACATTTTCGTGCTTAGCTACATTGAGTGTCCGCGAAGGTGAGCCGAAAGGTGCCACTGAAACATGTCCTCAAACCCAGTCCCTGTTCAAGGTCATGTATCATCTTCTATGCTAGAATAAGATCACAGATAAAACAGAGGGAATATGTTTAGACACTTCAGTCCTTCTAGATAAGATCGGTATCTTCGACCTTTTACTAGCTTCGTTGCATAGGGTTGCATTTTCTCGAGGCATAATCGTCTCGCCTACGTGCCGTATTATAGGCGTAGTTAAAGGAAGATCCCGTGAACATTGCTACAAAAAGGTCTTTGTCGAGAGCTACGAACGCCCTTTTGATGGCCTACAGTATTCTCATGCCGCCTTTTGCAGCCCTGATGCATTGCAATGATCCTTTAAAATTGTTCTGTCTCCAAGCACCGAAGTCCTTCTGTGAAGATTCTATGGAAAGTTGAATGTCTTTCAGGCAATATGCCCTCGGGCTGTCTTTTGGGTGGTTAAGCGCAAATGGAGGTCGGCACATTCATGCGCATTGAAATCTAGGAACCATTACTCGGACCACGTTGGCAGTCGATGCAGATTATCTTGAAGGGCGTTCTGTTCACTTGGGTTTTTAATAGGTGGACAGAGTTTAACGTCATCGGCAAACACGACCTTATTGCAGTCAAGCTCCTGAAGGTTGTCAGTAACGTAGAGAATGAAGAGGGTCCATGGACCGACTGAGTTCTGTAGGCAAGAGTGTCTTCGACATTTTCTTTTGAGGAGGATGTTTTGACAAGGTAGTTGCAAGAATATCTCACGAGAAATTTGTAATTTGAAAAAAGTTTTGCTTCCACTGCAAATACCCATGTTCTAGAGCATGTCGCGGAGTGACAATATAGTCAAGGTATCAGTTGACTTCTACGGTTCTCTCTGCTATAGCAGGGATGAGCTCCCCGAGGATGATACTCGTGAGAATTTTGAATCTTATACGAGTGATGTTCTTGCAAACCGCACAGGCTGCGTTTTTCGTCGCTCGACGGTGACTTTGAGGGCCTGAATCGAGTAGTGATTGACTGACATTAATATGACTCATCTTTAGAGATCGGTGTTAGAAGTCCTGTACTTACTGGTGTTCAGGTCATAACTCATCCAGCCGACTTCGAGGCTGTTCCTGATGCAGTTACTTTGGCTCCCCGGTTGAGCGTCATGCACAGTGGATATCTCATGAGATATTAACCGAAATTCTGAGGTATGTTTTCAATTCCAAAAGCTTACGTAAGTAGGGTTGTCGTACCGATTATTGTGACTGAAAATTGTAAGATATTCCAGTCACACCAGGATGCCGGCTTTCGAATGAGCTTCCTATCAACTATATCCTGTAAAAAATGACTACTCAAGTAGCATAAGCCATTTCCATTGATTTTTGGCACCCTTTTGAGCCAAGCGAAAACATGCGCAAAAATACCTTTACTTACTTGGTAGCAAATTGTCTTCTTAAAATTTTATACTTTAGGAAAGAGTATATTTCGGTTGCAAAAACAGCAATTTCCGAATAATTTTAAACCTGACCATTACAGGCTGTCTGTCCTCCCCTGTCTATCCTGATCGAAACCGACAGGACAACGAGCCCGTGGCTCAGTGGTTAGAGGCGTTGGACTTCTGACTAACAGGTCGCATGATCGAGCCCCAGGTGTTCCACGCCTCAGGGTTGGGTATGACTGGCTGACGACGGCAAATAAGCCAGAAATGACCATTCCAGTCTCCATTGATTTTGTCGGTAATAACATTCTGCCTATAATATGCGCCGCTGTGCGGCTGCTGGTTGGGCTCGAGAGAGAGCCCGTAAGGCACAACGGAACGAGTGAGTTCCGTAAGAACGATCGGTGAGCGCCCCACTACCAATCACGTTTATATATTCTGTCGAGAAAGCGTCATATAGGGCCTGTAAAATTTTGTAGTAGATGTGGGTCCTGTTGTATACTTTACAAGCAGCATTAATAAATGGATGGATAAGATACCTTAAGATTAGACACTTTATGGTCTTAAAGGGTCTCATAATTATAAAGTTTTTAAAGCAAAAATGCCCTTTCTTGAAGTAAAAAACTTGATGAAAACGTGATTTGTTGGCAACTGAGCATAAGAAAATTATTTTTATGTTTTCTAGAGAGTATATTTGAATTCAGAAGATGGAATTCTTTGGGAAACAGTATACTTTATTGTGTAAATGTGAATGTGTAGGGGCATCGAAAGTCAGTGAGCAAAGTCCGGACTACTTAAGTGATAATTTTTTGCAGAGTGTAGTTTTTGTAAGCGGTCGGAAGAAAGCTCATTCCAAGGCCGACATCCTGGCGGGGCTGAAGTATTTTTTGTGCAACAGCTAGTCTTACGACCCTACTTAGGCAAATGAAAATACATTTCAGAATTTCGGTCTGCATTTCCTGCGATGACACATCTGCTGTACTTCACAATCTTGAGTTTTTCCAAGACGTCACTGGATATCTACCAGCCCCGTATTCCACTGACCCCCTGCAAACGGTGCGATTGAGGGTTGTAATCACCAATCTACGGAGAGTCAGGCTGCAGTGACTCCCCACTGTGACCTTTACGACAATCGCATGGGCGTAGACTTGCTGTTTAATGGTAGGGGCGCTCACCGATCGTTCTTACGGAACTCACTCGTTCCGTTGTGCTTTACAGGCTCTCTCTCGAGCCCAACCAGCAGCCGCACAGCGGCGCATGATATAGGCAGAAGGCGTATTACCGACAAAGACAAGGACGAGACTGAATTGGCCATTTCTGGCTCATTAGCCGTGGTTGGGCTAGAGAGAGAACTCGTAAGGCACAACGGAACGAGTGAGTTCCGTAAGAACGATCGATGAGCGCCCCCTACCATTGCATATTCCCGATCGAAAGGGACAAGGCAACGGGCTCGTGGCCCCAGTGGTTAGAGGCGTGGACTTCTAACTAACAGGTCGAGAGTTCGAGCCTCGCGTGTTCCACACTTCGGGGTTGGGTATGAATGGCTGACGACGGCTAATGAGCTAGAAATGGCCATTCCAGTCTCCCTTGTCTTTGTCGGTAATAACATACTACTTGCTGTTTAGCTTTATCAGCCAATGCGCCCGAACCTACCTTTCCGCCTTCCTGTTAGTACCTTATTATCGGCAGTTGGTGAACGAGGGAGGGGGAGTGCGGCAGATGCTACGCAAGCCCACCCCATCATAAACTCACCCCCTTGGGCACGCAGAGGACGTCGGCACCTGCGACGGTCGAAATTCTACAACGATTACACTAATGGAGACGCTGGAGAGTTTTCAATGGCCTCAATAAGGGGATCGGTGATATCCGCGTCAGAGATGCCATATCGTGCGGAGAAGCTAGGCAAGACTGACACACCCACTAGGAACGCTGGCCACAGCCTATCGCCGAGTCTCACAACAACGCAAATATGGGCCGCATCGGAATTGCGTCCGCGAACGAGATCTTTTCACTTGACTAGCGTCTTATGTAGGCACTCGATCTGCACAGTTCTTCACTTGTATTTTGTTTGAAGTCAGACGAACGTCTGAAGAGTTGTGATTGTAGCGGATGCGGTCAAAGCGATTTGCTGAAAACTGTCGTTAAGGGGCTAATTGACAAACTTTCGGTCAACGCAGACTGACCTCGACCGAGTAAAATGACCAGTACAGACCATTGGGTTAAAAGGGAACTGGATCATAAGCCGGTAAAATTTATTGCTGCAAAATCTGCACGTGAAAATGAGTTGTAACTAGGTCAGGCCAGCTGTCTGAGAGAATGCTATAAGTGGAATTTATGACGTGAGTGCAAAAAATCGTTTGAAAGAAGTCGAGGAAACCATAGTCCGGGGGATATTTTTGATGGTCCGAATTTCGGCAAGATGGAGGGCAGCCTGTACTTCATTGTTATGGTCTTTGGTGCGCCCCAAACGGACCACGTGGTAGATGCGCTGGACCAACTCGGGGGCCATGTTGGACTCTGGCAGGCGTTATCGGCTTTGCGCACTGTAACAAATGCCAACATTTTGGGGATGCGGTGGCAGACCCGGTTGCCGGCGTGTGTCGCGCACATGGACCCTGCCATCCCCCCACTGTTGTTGTTGTTAGTTAAAAACCTGGTTATTTGCTGTGTGGATCAGGGGGTGTGGAGTGGAACGCCAAGGTGCGGGCTCGACCGTGCCATCCGCCTGCGCCCTCCCTCGCTTCCGGTCTTCTTGACTCTGTCTTGACACTGGGTCCAAGTGGGAGAGGAGGGGAGAGTGTGGTAGATGCTGTGTAAGTCTACCATCATTATAAACTAAATTTTTGCACAAGTCACCGTCCCTACTCACACCCCGCTGTGGAGTACACGGCGGACATCGTCGAAACCGACGGTCGAACTGCAGTTATGGTCTTGGTGGGCGATGCGGAAGAGGGAAGGCGAGTTCTAGGATCAATCTCTTTATTCAGCCAACCTCACTAACACAAAGGTAAACTCGCAAAAAGCCTTATTCGTTCGATTCCTAACAACTCTAGAACATTCTGGTTCCCGCCTTGCTGGTCGTCAATTGGTTGTTTCCTGCGAGAGAACCCCCTCGTGAAGAAATCCCGAATCTTCGGTCGGCCATTGATTGGGCTGCACGCGCGAGTAAAGGCATCTCATGCTGATTGGCTAGCTGATCTTACGCGTACACTTCACAGTCGGCTTGGACTGCTGTGCCCTGCATGTTCGCGTTTTCCTCTCGCTTTAAGTCGTGGTTCTATTCTGTTTTCTTCTTCTCATAACAACTACAACCACCCGTTTGCCAGGAAGTGTAAAGTTGTCTTCCAAAAGCCCATTTGTCATTTTTCTATCCTTGTGAAAGGATCTGAGGATTCTGGAACTGGACTTTTGTCGCCATCCATTTTATCGCGTTTTCGTTTAAATTCTCCCTTCATCCAAGCCCCTATTGACCTGTACGAATAATTTGGCGTCGTCGGACTCAACTCCAGCCGATCGAAAATTTTCTAGTTTATTGCAGTTTTCAACAAATAGTCCCGTTCATAATGCCAGATTAATTTGCAATATCGTTATTCCTCAAACGGGTCCTTTTACAGTCTCAGTGCTGTTAAACGACAAAGGACCGAGGACTATACGACTCATCACTCCGTATCATCACGACCAACGAGTGCTCACGCTTACAGGTACCTATTCCCTCAGTTTGTACTAAACACATACTTTCAAGCTCCTAGTAGTATGCGTATGTTTTTTCAAACTCATTCTGCTGATTATTTTACTGACAGTATGGATTCCGCGTACGATGAGCACATTCTTACTATTGGCCAACTTCAGGACGATATTAAGGCCCTAAAACGTCAGCTCCAGCTGAAGGATGCCGAGCTGTTGAAGAAGAATCAAACCATTTCGGATCTCAAGTCTGAGATTCTCGAGATGGAAACCAGTAGCCGCGAGCGTTTACTGAAGTATCAAGATTCAGCCGAAGACGAAATAAACCGCCTAAAGGTAGGGGAAGCAATCCGTTAAAATATGACGTATTTTGCACGCCTTTGCATAATCACACATTTTTTCTTAAATTCTCTACAGGAGACTATCCGCACACTACAGCGTGAGAAGGTCGAACTAAGCTCTCGATCCAAAAAACGTAGGATGGCCTATCCCAATCCCAGTTACACCCACTCTCCGCTTACACTGAGTCCCCTGCGGATGCCTCCGAGCCCTCCTCCAAAACCGGCAAAATTGCTTACCTCAGCCTCGACTCCCTCTCTTTTCCGTCGCCTCAACGATGAAGGGGCCAGAGGCGACCACCGAAGGGAGGCCACCCCGACCTCCACGCCACCGGGCAGTCCGCATACAGAGGGCACAGAAGACGCCGACTCCAATGCCAGTTCACGTCCCAGACGGCACCGAGGTGTGCTAGAGGAGACGGATGAAGCGGAGGGGGACTCAGCGGCTAACACTCCTGCTGGCGCCGTCGGGGAGGGGCAGGATGCCACAGTTGCTGCTGCTGGTACCACTACCACTGCTCGCAGCGAGGGTGGTCCGACCTCTCCAAGCCTCTCATCGAGTTCGGAGGGACTGTCTCCTGTGCCCCCTCGCAACGCATAAACTGCATGTATTTGCCATTCGCAGACATGACGGGCGCCTGCATTCACTTGCTACTACGCGCATACCACGCCTTTGTGTTCGTCATCCTGGACACACGTGCATGTACTGTCATACCTTCTGGCCTCCCCCACCACCATCGCCACCACCACTTCCTATCCCATTTTGCATTTGTATACGAACTGTTGCCATTTAGAAATGTTTTATATCAAGGCTATATTGTGCAGTGCGAGAGCCCTCAATGCTAGATGTCACATGCTTCCTAACTTGTAATTTTTTGTAAATTAACGTATCTACTTGCAAACAGTGAGTCGTCTTTTTTTCCAAATTAAATTTTACACCGCTCGGGTACCTGCTCCATATAGTATCGTCATACTGTCGGCAAGAATCCCGGGCTCCTTTTACGGGATAGTTAAAGGGCTAGTGATCCCTAAAGCGGCGGAATTGCCGTATTACTCGTCCAGAAGCTTGATCCTCGATGTTTGTTCTTCGGGGCTTTTTAACGACACATAGATATGCTCATTGCATGCCTTCTAGGGCAGCTGACATCATCTCCATATTTAGTCATTTGCCTTTTGAAATCGGCGCAGCAAAACACTCACAACAACAGTCTGCCTCTCTTCGTGTGACCGAGTATACCTTTGTTCCGGACCCTAGGTGTGCTCGCAAAGTCACTCTCGCACACTATCCATTACAACCGTAACTCGTTGCTTTACGGGCACTGTAACAGTACTCCCACATAAATACGATTGTAATTCCCCAACTTCTGGACAAGTTGAGTAAGTAGGTGATTGAGTGGTCGAATGGGGGGGGGAAGACCTTTCCACGATCTGCGAATCGCCCTGACTACAGTGAGGCCTGTTGGAAGTCGCAGAAGCTGTAGCTTTCGTAGGAAGTTTTCCGTGACGCAAGAGTTTAGACTCAGTTGAATTGATGTTGCTTTGAGAAGTCACCTTGGTCGCGGTTGCTTGGGGTTCATCCAGTTTTTTAACGACCATTTAATTTCTTCTGCTCCCAAGGGACGATTGTTGCCTACCTGAGCTAACTAGATAAGCAGGGACTGGGTTCTTGTGACCTTCATTTCGGCAAATTTGAGGGCGTGGACAATGCCAGTGCGAACCTCGTTTAACATGATGGACTTGGTGAGCGTCGGCTGATGACTGACTCAGCGTAGACACGCTACTGAAACCGTCTCAGCAGCAATGTGGCGATGCTTATTTTCATGATGGAGGGGCCCGTGCCGACACCTTAATGGAGGTAGCCTACAGCAGAAGTTGCACGTACGAGCATAGTGGCAATCGAACGTGCCAGACATGCTTCATCTCACGCTTTCTCAGCGACTCCCTGCGTTAAACTTTGTGAAAGTTTGGTCAGCAGCCAGAAGTGTCCCAATAACTGCGCAGCATCAAGACTGGCAAAGATGGCCCAACCTTTTAAAGCCTCTTACAGAGCTCGCAGCATTCTTAGGCTTCGTCGTTAACATTTATTGATTACTGATTCGAGTATTTTTGACGGTGCCTTCGCCAATTCTTGCACCTTTCAAATGTACTTTCTCGGTACGTTGAACTTCCTGAGACAATTGTCCATGTCACTGATATTAGAGAGGAAATTCAAATGGCGTCCCTCGTTCACAGCTACATCTGGAGGAGCGGTGAATGTTGTTGGTAAAACTGTGCACATGAGTGGCCTCGTGGGGACCGCTGGACGGACGCACAAAGGACTCAGTCTCGTTGCTGCCTGAATTTTCCACCGCAAGAAGACGCCTGTTGAGGAAGGGGGTTTCTCCAGAACTATTCTGCTTGGACCGATTTTGTCAGGCAAATTGTAAGGCGGATGCTCACTCAGTTTTTGTCCACTTGCTCAAATGGACATTTTCTCTGAAGGCTTCGGTTTCGTTTGAAACCACGTTGTTGACCTATGTGCTTTTTAAAACTGATTGTGAACTCTATTTGTAAGAAGAAGCTAACCTGGGTAACAAATCATTGTTCTAATTACGATCATGGACAATAATACCCCTTGTTTTATTTTATCTGCCAATGTTATCCCTGTTTTGTGAATTTTTTGACTTTTTTATCTTCACTCGGGAAATAATTTAATTAATTCTCTTCCTTCAAATTAATGAGTTGCGCGAAATATAAGAGAGCTTTAAGCCTGAATTCGGATTTGCGTTACAGACAGATAGAAAGAGTGAGTTCGGTGCCCGACGATCCACTCCCATAGCATATCAGTGCATTCCCCACTGTATCAAATCACAAGGTATTTGAATCCAGCTCGACACGCTAAGAATCGTAACGCTTGGAAGACTGTCAAGTAAGGGGATAACTAGGCCCTTTTCAGGGCTGAAATTCATGCTTCAGCGGCTTTTTCTTACGCGTGTGATGTCTGAGCCGCCTTTACAGTGATTAATCGCTGAGGAAATTAAAAAGCTGTAAAAGTTAATTTAACAGAGTCCAGCAGATGCAAGTGAATTCCTTGGAAATCCCGCTTTACGCGTGACGAGACAGTAAGACCGACGACAACTTATTAAGTATAAATATACTACTAGCAACATTATAGTAATATTATAATAAATATTCACGGAATCCGTAATGGGAACGAAGCGACATGATACAATGGTGCACGTCAATTTGTCTAACAATGCGGGGAAGGCAACGATTTGATGTGCCAGAAATTCTCCTTCTTCCTGGCTGTACTTTTTGATTTGAATACCTACTATATGTGCATGTATAAAGTACTACTTCGGATCATAAGTTTGCTATCATATATAGATTTGCCAACCTTTCACGAGTATTTGCGCACAGCAATTAACATTTCCTAGACGAATAGAAGATCCGAAGGGTGTTTGAAAAAATGGAAAGGCCTACGCGCAATGTTCTTTGGTGGCTTTACGAAATTTTAAGGCAAATTATTGATACTCTCATTGTCGCTAGCGACGGTGTCCACCATGGGTCCCGCGACAAGGAGGGCGCAAGACGATGACTTGTGTGTAAATTAGTTCACAACGTCCCCTGCATTCCCCATCCATTCCCAATTTCGGCCTGGTGGCAAGACAGAGTCAAAAAGGCCGGAGGTCTGATTGGGCGCAGTGGCTGACAAGGACAAACTGTCCGTCTACGCGGACAACACACGGCATGGTGCCGGGACAATGGGCCGCGCATTCGCAAAAACACAGGGCGACATTGATTTCATCTTAGGGGGTGTCATGAGGGGAGCGTTAAGAAGGAGCCACTGGTCCTTACTGCCAGTCCCCGAGCTAGTTATTCCCCCCACTCACGGCACTGGCCACGAGGATCGAATTACCTCGTCGATTGGCAATCTTTAAAGCCATGACTTTCGAAGCGTCGTGATGGGTTCGACTACGTCAGATTCATGATAGTGAGGAATGGATCCTCAGAGTCGGTCTCTTGCCCCCGTCCCCCATGCACCGCTTGACTGTTCGAGTCGGTCAAACAGCTGGTGTTGGGATTGGATTCCGTAACCAACTGAGTTACGATAGTCCGTCCACGTGCGATGCACACGATGCAGTGACATGGTCGTGCATCTTCTGCGCAGGTGCTGGATGATGTGACACGTAGTCTGGGTATGTGTGTGTATGCATGGTGATGAGGTTTGGACTGCGATGTTCTACCGAAAATTTTAACGATGGCGTATGTGACCAAGTAGGCCCACGCGATGAGTGTGCGTGGGCAGTGCGAGCAGTTGAGGTGGGTGCTACTGGTGTATGTTGACGCTTCTGGCGCTGGTTCGTCATGTTCTACAAGATGATGGATTCGCATGTAACCGACCAGACTCTTGCGTCATGTGGGTGTTCGAACGCAGTGGGGGCATATTAGGACCGAGTCCACATTGCTGGTGCGCGGAGAGGTGGCGTAGGTCGTGGTAGTTGGCAAAGCCTCGGGAGTGTTCTCGCCGGCGATGGTGAAGAGCTTGTGGTATTAATGATGGAGGTGATGTTAGGCGACGGAGCATCGGGAGTTTGTTCGCCGATGGTGGTGGTGGTCGTGATCGTCGACATAGTGGCGGCTGTGGTAGTGTGGGTGAGGACGAGACGGTTGATATAGCAACGAACTAAGAACGTAAGGACTAAACCTTTGACTATGCTCAATCTAGATGAGGTAAAGCGGAGAAAAGGCGTTTAAAGTCTCAAGAGCGCAAGGAGTCTAACAAGGTCAAAGGTTCCAAGGAAGTCTAATTTGCTGAAAAAGACAACATGCTTAATGACCGATCGTTTACCTGCTAACGGCCCTCGTTTATTTATGCAACGGCGGATTTGCCGTATGAAAGGAGTTCGAATTTATGACACTGGTTTGGCATATTTGTTTATTCCCATTTTGAGTTTTATAGTTGTTCCTCTTGCCATTTATTTCTCAACCTTCTATTTATGTCACTCCTTTTTGTTTGGTGTTTATTAATCATTACATGGTACATTTCCAACCCGACGCAGGCTCTGCCTTTTAGCTTAAGGTGACAATGCGAATCCTACAGGCAAAACAGTCAAGTCTGCCTTAATACGACGCCTGAGTTTGCGTAGGATCAGTCTGTCGATCATCGTTACTATCTAAATATAAGTAAGCAATAAGCAGCTCGGACACAATTGCGTCCACACAGCGTCGCGGCTACCCATGAGCCACTTGAACGCGCCACCCCCTGCAACCAGCAAAACAAGCCACTGGGGCACCACCTCTCGGCAAATGCAACACACACTGACTGGACACCACTTGAACTTGGTCCACGAGCCTACAAAAGTGGTTGCCACCACTATCTCACAGACTCTCAAGCCTGACTGGACGTAGTCAACACCAGCCCTGGCTTCGCCAGTGGCCACTGTCGCCTGAGAGGACAACTCCGGTTTCTGTTCACAATAAACCCCATCATTCTGGTGCCTTTCGTCTCTCTCTCTCTCTCAACAACTTGGGATCTGACCCGACGATGGTAGCGCTCTGAATACAGGCATACTTACTCACACCGCTTGATAGGATAGCGGACCTCGTGAGAGGGGAGAAGAGCCAATTAGCATTGACTCACATCAGTTGCTCCTCTGTGATGTTGAACAATCCCGCGGAAGGTCGAAGTGGCTTTGCGATCGAAACTTTTGTTGGGACCGAAGCTATTCCAATCAGCTATTACTCCCTGTTGATGTTATATAGGACGCTTGCCTGTTCGACAATGTTTTTACACATCACACATCTGATTGTATAAATATGCAAAAACCGTTGAAAGTCGAATGGGCAGCCATCACCAGGTCATTTTAGGGGAAATCTCGGCAACCATTTTGCTGTCCTTGACAGACCAAGTAAGTGATGGATAGAGTAAGATAATCTTCCTAAGACGACATTGCTTAGAAACCTTGCGCACATTTCTTCCTTACCCAGAGGCATGTTCCAAACAAACCCCAGAATAAGAGTTTTTTCGTCCTTCAAAAACGAAATTTATCACAAATGGCCATCCTTTATCAACACCCGTGTTTTCATCAATGCTTGCCTATTTAGATCACTCTGCTCGCTTTCTGTCTGATTGGTTATCCGTGTACGTGACCGTAAATCTTTGCCCGTTTGGCCTCCGTCGGGAAGTCTGAAATGTCCGTTTGACAGAAGCTAAGGTCTTGAAGAAGAGAACACGATCGCCGAGACAAGAGCTTTATTAGCCTGGCGTTTCGGATTCCCGCTCGAATCCATCATCAGAAGCTAAGGTGTCATCTTACATCCGGAAAATTGTTTGCTACATTGGCCAGGCGCCAGAGGAGTCCGTCAAGGACTCGTGTTGGACTCCCATTAAGGCAGATGCAATAAAAGTACGCCCGGACAAGAAGAGGATCCCCAAATAACAATGATTACTTTTCATCTAAAATTTGTAAAATTCACTGAGACTGGGCATCTATAAAATATCCCAGTCCGACTTAAGCTATGTCGGAAATTCTATATAAACCAAATAATGAATTAAGAGGGTATGCGCTTTGTTACGCTGAATGCGCTCAGGTCTGATCACTTTGGTCAGACCCCGTCCCCCCCGCCACAGGTGACCTTACGCTAAACTACAGATGGTTCCTATTCCGGTATCCTAACTCTAACCTTCAAAATAACAGTAAACCTCGTAAGCCTGGCCCTAACCACCCCCTCCCCCCTGGAGTTTGGCGCTAAGCCACTTGTATTGCAGGTGATGTCTATATTCCCGTGCTTTACCAATACTTTTTAGTTATTATTCGCGGAGCGCTTGATTGGGATTGAAGGGCCCGACTATTCGACCGCGTTCCTATTGGTAGCTTTCGTTCTGGTCGCATCGTTAAGAGTTTTAAGTCAAAAGTAACACCTACTGACTTAATTTCAGCACTATACTAAATCGCGACTCGAAAACTATTTGCCGGTAAGAAGAGATCCTGGAATGGTCATTTCTGGTTTACTAGCTGCCAAGCATCCTTTAGAGCCAGAACAAGACTTCTAACGAGTCATGTCAGTACTCACTATAGGGCGAATACAGAAAGGCCCGTCGAAACGTCCTATCTGTCATAATCAAGAACAGCTAGAACTCGCGCAAAACGACTCTAAAGCGTTCGACGGAGATAAAAACTAGGCAGGCATATGAATCATAAAGGTGATACCACGGAAACCATATTAATTTCCCTGGGCTACAGTGGTATAGTCGACGTTTTGCTACCCTTTTCAAAGATAATGCAGTTGAAAGAATGCTTACTTATAGGTGTTAGCGTACGCCTTAAAGTCGCAGAAAAAAAGAAACCATGGCAACTCTATGGCAACATAACAGGGCTGTAATTCTATTAATAGGGTACAACATTTAATCATATGGACGCATGATCATGCGGACAAGGTTTATTACTTAGATAATTCCGTGTTTAGAAGAAAATGCACAGATTGAAATGTGCGAACCCCGCAAAACAGGCCACGCGGCAGATGCGCTAGACCAACACGGAGGCTGGATCAGGATCCGACATGCGTTATTGGGAACGCGCACTCATAACGAATGTCCCCGTTGGGAGTGTGGTGGCAGGTACTTGTGTCGGTTCAAACCGCGCCAAATGGGATCCCTACCACTCCGCCCTCTTCTCTTGTGTGTAAAAGCCTGGTTGTGGACTAGGGGGTGTGGTTGTACATCTAACTACGGTTTCGCCATGCCAACCACCCGCGCGCTCTCCCACCTCCGGTCTTCTTGGCTCTGTCATGGCGGCGGATCCAGGTGAAAGAGGAGAGGCTGCGGTAGATGCTGTGCAAGTCGCGGTGCCTCCTCGTACCGTGCTGTGGAGCATACGGTGGACATTGTCGGTAACGATAGTCGAACTGTCGTGTGTGCTTGCCAGGTACCTTGGAACTTAATCTCTTGCCCTGCCAGCAGCCGCACAGCGGCTAGTGGTGCATATACGCAGAATGACATTACAAAATAGGACAGAGGAAACTGGAATGGTCATTATTCTGGTTAGCGTTGGACTTCTGACCCACAGGTCGCGGGATCGAGCCTCAGGAGTTGCAACGCCTAGGGTGGGGTGTGGCTGACTGATAACGGCTAATAAGTCAGAAATGGCCATTCCGATCTCTCTCGTCAAGATATGCTGCCCATTATCAGTACAGTTTCACTGATGAGAAAGAAGAGTTTTTAAAGAATAGTATAAAAGTCCAAAACGCGAGCATCCGTGTCATATGAATAGATTTGAATTTCAAAGGTGCATAATGTTTATTCATGCAAACAACTGACTAAATAAGACAGTACAGGCACAGCAACGTTTAAAAATACTTTATACATGCATTTTCGTTAAATGTCCTCCAACAATCCTTGCAATAGGAAGTCCGGCACAAAGTCAAGTAAGCAATGTCCGGTGATAAGTTTCACGATCTTTTTGATTGAAATCGGTGCATTTTTTCTGTTTTTGTTTTGCTAGAGACGCGGCTGATTAAGACAGGGAGGATTTCGCTTAATTTCGCTGGTAAAGGCGCCACGGTCAGCGACTAATAAACTTCGATAGAACTGACAGATGCAATCGTAAGCATGACATTTTGTATATGTCAAGAGAATTTTTTCTGGTCAAATTTATGTGCCGTTTTCGCCGACGGTGAAGTCCGTTGAGTTTCGCGCTGTCATTGAAATGTCAGTGAATGCCGTAAGATTATCACGGCTTTCAAGTGTTCGCCATGTTCTAAGCCATGTACAGTGATTTGCCGATCTCATGAAATGCTGGCTGAAATTCTGAAATGCGTTTTCGATTAGAAAGGATTACTTGGGCGCGGTTTTAATAATGATTATTTTGCTGCATACTCTTATAGCGTTTCGGACTTGGCAGGATGTCGGCTTTCGAATACGCCTCTTTTCGGTCTCCTGTAGAAAGCGTGCTTGGTAAAAAAATGACTACTTAAGTAGCATGCATTTTTCCCATTGATTTTCGACGGTCTTGGAAATTCAAATAAATTTTATAGAAACCATAGACAAAAACATGCCTTCTTTCAGTCAACTAACAGAGAATCACGCCTTCTTTATATTTTATACTCAAGGAAGGAGTATAATTTGGTTTTGAAAAAGTTTTCTAATTACCGAATAATTTGGAGCCTGATCATTAGTTGCACTAGCGCTCAGTAATTTCAGTCTACAAGGTGCATGCGTTCCTCGTAAAGAAAATCACATATTTTTCTATGCCATTAAAGAGATATCATACAGATTCCATAAAATTTTGCAATGGATGCGGACCATGTTGTACATTTCATGAGGAGCAGTGGTAAACGGCCAGATACGATGCTATGTGAATGGACATTTAGCGGTCTTAAAAAGTCTCATAATTAGAAACTTTTTTAAAACCTAATTATACTCCTTCCTTAAGTATAAAATATAAAGAAGACGTAATTCTCTATTGATTGACTAAAAAGCTTATTTTCATTTATAGTTTCTATAAAATATATTTGAATTCCCAAGACCATCGAAAAGCAATGGAAATAAAGCATGCTACTTAAGTAGTCATTTTTACCGAGTACGCCTTCTACAGGAGATTTAAAAAAGTGCATTTAAAAGTTGACATCCTGCCGAGTCCGAAATGTTATAAGAGTATGCCGCAAGCTAATCAGTCTTACAACCGCGATCAAGTGATCCTTCCTAATCGAAAACGCATTTCAGAATTTCAGCCAACATTTCATGAGATCGGTCACTCACTGTATTTATCAAAACCATCAAACCAAAATATTTCTGGAAAGGGCTTACCTGTTTATTAGGCATTTGGATATTCTTCTTCTTCTTTTCCTTGTAAATAACCGTTTATGTCACATTTAGGGACTCATCCAAACATGAAACCTAATTGTCGAAAAAGTGAAAGTCCATAACGAAAGTCAGCGACGAATATGCTTCTGGTCAATTGAGCAACTTTATCTAGTAATAAACTGGTTACAACGTTTTAATTGTCTGAAATTGGCTATCCGCATTTCCAGCATCACGTTCAATGAGTTAGTCCCCATGCTGTGTATGCTCGAAACTCTGGTCTGCCGATAGCTAGACTGCAAGACCGAAATATGAATGTCACACAAAACATACTAGCCGTATGACTTCAGTAGAACAGTGACTATAGATCGCAAAAGAAGACCTGTGTCAGCAGAGAGCGAATTTAGGTCAGAGGGTTGTCCCATCGACCTGGTTTGCGTTCTTCCCACAGCCTGGAGGGCGACTTACTTGAGTCATCAGGGACACTTGCGCGTCACATCAAACCGTCCCAGTCTCGCGATGAAAACCTTAATCTCATAGAGGGTGCATTCTGTACTTCAGGTCATTCAAATTACCACTCTCATGTCTAGAAGCATCGATTATAACGAGAATCTACCAACTCAAAGCTCACATTTTTCGCGTTTGACAGTGACCACAAGCGAGCAACGTGAACTGAGCAGTGCAACCTGTTGGGGAAACTGTTATGTTACTGGCAAAACGTCCGTGTCCACAGTACCAAAACTATTTGTCATTCAGCGCTCAGAAACAGCGGCGTGAGAACGTCATCCTCATCATCATCATCATCATCATCATCATCATCATCATCATCATCATCATCATCATCATCATCATCATCATCATCATCATCATCATCATCATCACCATCATCATCATCATCATCATCATCATCATCATCATCATCATCATCATCATCATCATCATCATCATCATCATCGTCGTCATCATCATCATCATCATCATCATCATCATCATCATCATCAGCAGCAGCAGCAGCAGCATCATCACCTACTTAGAAATATGTCATCATGAGGATGACGCAGAAAGTAAAAATAAGGTTACTTTGGGGACCACCCCTGACTCTGTCATCCGGCAACTGCATAATCCCCAAAGTCTTGTTGGCCTGAATTACGAATGATGCCGTCTCTATACGCCTCATTCCTTCCCCTCTTTTTTTATGGAGGCCCGTTATTTACTCTTGCGGAAGGGCAGGCCTACATCCCCTCCCGCAAGTGGGTGTTACGCCAGTACAATTTTCTGTGAGAACGGAAGGTAACTTTACTGTCAACCTGAGTTGCCTTCTGGCTGGAAAGAAAGCTGAATATAGTTAAACAAAGGTAGAGACGGTGAACTTGCATTTTTACGGGGAATATAGGTAGTGGCTAGGCACAATGATGCAAATATGACGGAAGCGCCTGCAGTCTAGGGGAGATCACTGAACTTCTATCACCCTCGAAGCGCAGTAAAGTCCTCTGGGAATTCCGAGTGATGAAAGTGGAAAGAAAACCGATAACAGTCACATCACAACGTGCTGCCGCATGCGTCGACCCATGCATCGACTTCAACAACATTGTTAAAAATGCACCTGACGTGTCCCCTTGCTAGGCCAATATCTCACGTGTTGCATAAATAAAGAAAAGTCAGTTTGGTAAACACGTGTTTTCGGTAACGCTTCATCAGGCCAAAACGGTTACATAGAAGTTTAAATTATGCGAAGTGACAGGGCTTATAAGTGATTCAGGGACTATTAACACCCATCGTTCCCATCCCATTCGCATGACGAGGCGTGCTATGGCGTGGTCGGCGTGTCGTGATCATTGGGTCAACGGGGCGAGGGAGAGGGGGGGACATAGGCTGTGAGTAATGTTTGTTCGTCGGGTACGTTGTGCACACACCACTGCCATCAGGAGGTTGGCGCTACGTTGGGGTCGGCGTTGGCCACGGAAGAAAATCAGTGGGCCGCGGACAGTTATCCATCCGTCATATGTCACGGATGATGGAATCGGGAATGTACGCGAGGCTACAAAGTTCAGACTCTAGAAGTAATCATTAATGCAGTAAAGAAGCATTGCATTCATGGTTTCATCTAAAAGATAAGTCAGGATCCGCACTTGGAAAATCGTGCTGATGCCACAAGGGAAAGAAGCTGTGTATCATTACCGACAAAGACAATGGAGACTGGTTGGGCTAGAGAGAGTCCTAAGGCACAACGGGACGGGTAGGTTCGATAAACACCATCGGTGTGCGTCCCTCTACCGTTGTATATACCGGATCGCGATGAGATTTGGTTATGTGTCCGCACCTGATGGACGCAATACTGTTGACCCACCTAATTATTCTGAGTTAATGTGATTACGTGGGCTTGGTGTTGCTGTGCGTTCTGGTGGCAGCCTTGTTTATTTGCTGCCGTGTCTACCTTTTTCGACGCAAGGCCGGTGGTCCTTCTTGACTTTCGGCCTGTCGTCCCCTTCTAACTTTCTCGCTAAATGTTTCAGGGTTAGGGCTTAAAGCTGTGGTTAAGGGTTGAAGTCAAGGGTTAGGGTTAGGGTTATGGGTTAGGGCAACTATATTCAACAACTCAAAGTACAACCACGCATTCCCAATAGCTTTTCGTTTACATACACTTACTTGACGTCGTCGCCTATGCGTTCTCCGGTCCCACCTGTAAAAACCCCTATTACCACCGGTCTCGTATTAAAGGTTGCTGGGGTTTGCTCACCGTAGGTGTGGCCACATAACCACATCTGACCCCGATCGCAACCAACAGGACAACGAGCCCGTGACCCAGTGATTAGGGACGTTGGACTTCTAACCAATAGGTCGCGGAGTCGAGCCCCAGGTGTTCCACACCTCGTGGTTGAGTACGACTGGCTGACGACGACTAATAAGCCGGAAATGGCCGTTCCAGTCTCCCTTGTCTTTGTCGGTAATGCCATTCTGCCTGTAGTATGGGCCGCCGTGCTGCTGCTGATTGGGCGAGTGAGTTCGGTAACACGACCAGTGAGCGCCGTTTTGCCAAAGAAGCCGTATTCCTCGGGTTAATAAAAAGAGTGCTTAAGAGGAAACCGGCTCTGTTCGGCTCCATACTGTCTGTTCTAGCATCGGAGGGGGGAATCGCACGGCAAACTAACTTTCCTCCCAGATTTTATCAAGGTCAGACTTCTCCCATTCCGGCGAAACACCAATTAATTATTTAGAGCAGTAGCTCATGTAAAAGACAAAGTCCTTGGAGGATTTGATGAGCTTGAATAAATTCCTCCTCTCCAAGTGGATCATGTATGGGCGCCGGCATATTATTAAACTGTCCACCAAGATCAAGCGAGACGGGAAAGTCATTTAGTAGAACTCTGGCCAACACCTCGGTTCCCCTGGTTTGAGTTGAATATGTCTGACTTCGGAAACACATTTGCGAGAATTGACTGTCCCAGTCTTCGTCTCCTTTTGTAGGCATCAGCTGTCGGTTATTGATTGGCCATTTTTCTGTGTCACCGCCCGCAGACTTCGCTGTGCTCCCGGCGATAGATCGATAAACGCCACTCTCACGTGACGATACGAGCAAATAAACACGCACGGTGCAGACGGGTGACATTAACCTAAAAAAATTATTGTCTTGCCTGAGGATACTTACTAATGATCTAATGTTTAATGTAACCTCCCTTTCAGTCGACAAGAGCATGTGTCCTTTGTGTCGACAACGAAGGACAGAAATCCGGATGATCAGTTCGAGGTATCTCGAACGTTGTGCGTTTTACTGATTAGCATAACAAATTGCGGAAAATGTACTTCTTCCATTGGAAAAGACATTTCTGATCTATTTTGCGGAGAGAAGATCTGCATCTTTGAGTGGAAATCAACTTTAGGTTGCATTCAGGTGATTTATTACGTAATTTACTACCAAAGGAGTACAGAAAAGAATGTATTTGCGCATGTTTTCTATAAAATATATTTGTATTTACAAGGGCACTGAAATTCAATAAGGAAACTCATGCACTCTAGTAGTTTGAGCTGAGGAGGTGACTGAAAAGATGCTGAGCTGAAAACCAGTATAATATTATAAGTGAACAAGCTTCTGGCTACGCCTCACGCTAGTTATTGCTGCCAATGTGCTTACAGTAAGTGGCCAATCTCATTAAATGTTCACCAAAATTCTGAAATGGGTTTTCGATTAGCAAAGATTGCCTAAGTGGAGTTGTAGTACTGATTATCGTACAGCATAATCCCAAGACATTTCGCTCACACCGGGATGCAGCTTTTGTGCAGGCTCCTTCCCGACTGCCTGAACGATTATACTTATTAAAAAGTAGCTGTTTAAATAGTACGGACTTTTCCATCGATTTTCGGATCTCCTATAAATTCATGTATAATTTATAGAAGACATGCACAAAAATATCCTTCTTTGTACTTATTTTGTAGAAATTTATGTCTTCTTCAACTTCTGCGAGGGCTATACGTAAGCTTTGAGTTACAAAAAGGTTTTTCTACTCCCGATTAATGTGAGATCTGCATTCCCCTTGCGCTCGCGTTTAAAGTTTTCAGACTACGAGCTGTATACTTTTATGAAGAAAATTCTTGCATTCCTCTGTGCTACTAAGAAGATTCCATTTAGGACTCATATAACCTTGGAATAAATATGCTCCATGCTATACACTCCACGGGTAGAATCAACAAACGAACAGATGCGATGTTATTGAAATAGTTATTTCACGGTCTTAAGAAGTCATATAATCAAAACATCATTAGAACCGAAAGCTATTCCTTTTCTTAGCATGAAACCTGACAAAGATCAGTTGTTTCAAAATGGATGTAAGAAAACATGTTGTTGTGAATGTTTTCTATGAAGGTATTGGGGCCTCAAGAATCAATGAAAAAAGCCATCCACCTCAAATAGCCATTTTACGGGATGTAGCAGTCCACTCCTTTGATCTCCGCCACTTTGTCCCCCTATCATTTTTTTGCCAATCTACGCCTCCTGTTGATTTGCCGCTGGGACCCCGCGAGGTTTGGAACTAGTCGCATGAGAGCTCAAAACTAATTAGCGATGCCCCTTCGCTGATTGGCTAGAAGCGGCCACAACTCAGGCCGGCCAAAGGTGCACACATGCGGGGGGAGGGCTAAGAGCCTTGACGGTGGACCCCGGCAGACATAACAGGTCTGAAGAGACAGCCAGCGGCAGCTACTTGCTTGTCCAGACAAATCCGTTTTTCCTGACTTGTGATTTGGAAATGTTCATGTTGGCGACCCTTGGGAGGTCTCGCGCCGGAAAGAAGCACATTAAAGGGCAGGCATCATGATGTGACTTAAATATTTCGGGAATATGTTATATGACAACCAATATTACAACCCCACTTAGGCAACCCTTCCTAATGGAAAATGCATTTCAGAATTTAAATGGGCATTTTATGAGATTAACCACTCATTGCATGCATACCTTCCAGTTGAGCGTGTATATACAAACTAAAATATGTCCGAACAATCCGGATTTCGTTCGATATAACATGTACAAGCTCTTTAGCCCTCTCAGTCTGCGTCCTTGACGGTGACTGGTCGGTTGATGCAGGCGTTTCTAAAATGTGAAAAGTGTCCCGATCTGTTTGGAAATCAGTCAACTGCTAACATGTTTAGCTGGTGTACTGTTTTCCATAACAAAAGACCTGTGCTGTGACTCCCTATGATAAGGCTACATCGATTTTACTTGAAATCAAAATGGATCATACGGGTTCCGTGGTAGTCACGCTTATCGCTTCTCAATTCTCTGAGCTAAGGCCATGGTGGGTAATCCGACGGCACAACCCGTGTTTAGAAGGCTATTGAATAAAACGCTACTGCTTAAACCGGTCCAGTAAGCATTCTTCGTAGGCTGTCTATTCCTGGGAGCCTTCATTAGATCCTTTCTCAGGTTACTCCTGTTAAATGCATTTAGCATTCAAACAGGAGTGGGTACTCGCCGATCTGGTGGATCCCTAAAACAAGAAAACTCCGTGTGGGTGGCAGATGTTTGCTTTTGTGAGACTTCGTTCATTCAGGCGGAACCGGGTTGAATAAATGCCGGATCTGAAGCGACAGAGAAGGACAGGGGCGAGGGTCTAGTGAACACCGGTTCGACCTACCTGCTAGAGGGTTACGATCGGCTGTGTGAAGGTAAAATCAGTCCAAAGCAGTACAGCACCATCCTACCGTCATCTTCCGTCGTTTCCCCACTTCTTTTATCTTTATTTGGCACTAACACGGACGGTAGCCAGTAGGCGATTTAAAGAGACACTACTAATTTTTATCTCTGCGCCAGTTATCTGAAGCCTTCTACTTAAGTAGGAAGTCAAGTCCTGTGGGTGTCTAACAGTTTTTTTTCGCCAGTACCAATCGTAAACAGCCCCCGACCCTTCTTCATTAACAGTATTTACTCTTTCAGTCCAGTCTCGTGTATATACATATAATTGGTTACCTCCGCAGCTTTATAGAACGCAGCAGGCTATCCAGACCAACCATAAAGTAAACGGCAAATCAGCCGAAAGTCTGACGAACGCTGTCTATATTGCGAACGTTTCCGAGGCAGTTGCTCGTATCTTGCTACCATTGGCTATCGGAATTGCCTACAAGCCCGAATTGACAATTAGACGTCTGGTCATTAGACAAAAAACGCCTCTGCCACAAGGCGAAACAGGCAACGTCGTCTACCGAATCCCGTATAGTTTCTGTGAAGTAAAGTACGTTGGAGAGACCGGAAAAAGAATGCAGACCTGCATGGACGAGAACACAAGGGCGGTACGAAGAATGGATCCGCCCTCGCTGGTAGCGGAACATTGCGCAGCTTCTGGCCATACCTTCGCTTTCCAAGACGCCGAAGTCTTGGACCAAGGGAGCGATCAAACGGTCAGGGAGACGCTCGAAGCATGGCACACCACAACTACCTCGATCAACCGCTGCGTAACTTTGCCGGCTGCCTACCAGGCCCTACGGGTGAAGTTCAATAGGCAGGGCTACCGGCGAGGCGTCAGGCCAGACGCCAACACTGGCATGACTGCCACGGTTACGAGCAGGCGTGAGCGGGCAGCGAGGCGAGAACGCACGACAGTGACAGGAACTCCCAGCCCGACGTCAACACTGATATGACAACCACCGTCCACACAGTTACGGACAAATGTGAATGGGGAATGAAGGCGAGATATGTGGAGGGCCGACAACGGACAATGCAAATAAGAGCAATGGCCGCGGTCACCCCGACGCCGCCCTCCTCCCCACACCCGACAAAGGATGAGGAGGAACCGATGCCGCCATGACAGCAATCGTCAAACCTTGTGATGCAGCGCGCTGGAAGTTACTGATACGCCAGCACGAAGGAAAGCCCTAAAATACTGTAACATGCCGTACGAAACCCACTTCCGATGGTGGAAGTTTGTCTGCTTTCGAAACGTCAGGCCAATAAAACCATGGTTACTGTGATCGCCTTACCTTTTCAGTTATGTCCAGGAACTAGCATTTTCGCTTCAGTCAGCATATATATATATATACATATCAGATTCAAGAACTTGTGTCGCTCAAGACAGTCAAGCAAAAAGGCTGGGGCTTTGATTTGAGTCCAATCCCGGCTAGTCATGATACCTAGCAAAGTTCCTGTGGTTAAACCGGAGATTGAATGGCAGGAGGGCAAAACTGAAATTTAATCACACTCCGCCCCTGAAATGCAGGCTTGTATGGTTGCAACTTACCTTCGTTGGGTAGGCATCTGCATCTGGTTGTCGGTCTCGAAAGTGATACGTACGGTGGCATACTCACCATCTTTATTACCTTTGCCTACAGTGGTGCAATCGGCGTGTGACGATCGACTCCCACAATGACACATTTGAAAGTGTGCTCACCTCACTTATTTATTTGGTCACCTGAATAAGTAACCTGAAGACTTGGGATTGGGTAAGATCGACTGACGACTGCTGACAAACTAGAAATGGTCATCTCAGTCTCCTATGTCTTTTCCAGTATCTCCCGTCTACACTGAAAACAGGACAGGACCAGTAGGGCAAGTGAGCACGCGGGACCGAGATTCAACGCTCAGGGGAATGAGCGGAGTTGGGGGCCGGAGGTCATGTGACCAAATCCGAACACTGTCTCACCGATGCGCCCGCGAAGCCGACTGATGCTCACATGAACAGCAACGACCGATAAGTCCACCGGCTGACGTGGGAGAAGCCAACTGGCACGTTGATTTGACTTCAATTACGCCGATCCAAAAGGGAATAAAGTTCACGCAGGCCTGTCAGCGGTCAGCCCCAGGGAGGTCTAAGCCAATCAGTGGCAAACAGGCAGGTCAAAGTTCGTACCTCGAGCACGGTTATAATAAGAGGCAAGCGGCAAGACTGAACAACTCAAGACCGGCAGGAGCAACAAGTACGCTACTCTGATGATGGAAACGAGGAAGTTTCCGAAACGTCAGTTCGAATACGATATGGTCAATGAATTCGCCCTCTCTTCTTCTTTGGGAGATGATGACCGCGATAAACTGAAAACTTTATTCATTTCTCTGATATTCGCCAAGTTAGCCATTTCTCCGGCCGCAGATCGCCTTGCTAGCCAGTTGACGATAGAGCAAGCATGCAGTTTTACGCCAGGCGCTCATTCACCAGCAGGCGTGGTGGAAATATCTGCGGACTGAAAACTGCGTCGAACGGTTTTAGCAGAAAAAAGAACCGATAAACGAGACTCTGACGTCGCTAGCTTAGACACTGCATATTTGTGAAAGTAGAGAGAATAGGAATTAGCAATTTTTTTGCAGTCTGAAGGGCAGGGGGTGGACGGAGGCCTAGGGCTGACGAAAAGCGCATTTGGCGTGAACGGTGGGTGGCCGGGACCCAGCCTTTCACATAAGTTGCCGATGACTCACTTGAAAAGCGATCTTCTCTCGAATTTTTGTTTTGTTTCCACAGGCATGCGCGTTGTTATCGGGCTTAGAGGAAGCTGCGGACGAATGCAAATGCGTCGACAACTTCCTTGGTGGCCTATGTGCAGGAAAGCGGCTAAAAATAAACAAAGGAAACAAAAGGAAACATTTTCTTCGAAAGAATAAATACAGGAGATGTGCCACCGAATGAAATGTTAACCGATATTCTGAAACTGTGTTTTCGATTCGAAAAGATGACCTAGGTAGTGTTGTAATATTAATGATCATACAGTAGAATCCCAAGATACCTCAGTCGTATCAGGATTCTGGTTTTTGAAAGAGCAGTTTTCCAGCCCTCTGCAAGAATCGAACCCTGTAAAAATCACTGCTTAAGTAGTATGGCTATTTTTCTCAGCGATTTTCGATTTTCCCATATGCTCAATCATATTTTATGAAAAAAATGTACAAAAATACTCGATCTTTTTCTAATTTGGTAGCAAATCACGTCTTTGTTGAATTTCATGTTTAAAGGAAGAGTATAAATCTGTTCTAAACGACTTTGTCATTTCTCAAATAACTTTGAAATCGACCTACCAGCACAAGTGCATTCAGGGCTTCAAAACTACAAGATGAATAGTTTCCGTTTAGGCGAAGTCATACAATTTTATGGGCCATCAAAAGACACTATGTGGTGCTCAAAAACGTTTGCGGTGGATTTCAGCCATACTGTACACTTTACAAGCAAGACTGCTAAATGTAGAGATACAATGTGTTATGAAAGGTGATTTCATGGTCTTAAAAATATCATGATTGGAAGCATTTCTAAAGTCGAAAGATATTTTTTCTACATGTATAACGGTTAAAAAGGACGTAATTTGCTAATAAATGAGTTAAAAACGAATACTTTCCTGCATATTTTCCACAAAATATATTAGAACTTACGAGGACATCGAAAATCGATAAGAAGATTCTTATCACATAAATGGCCATTTTTTACGGAGTGTAATTTTTGCGGACGATCCGAAAGAAGCTCGTTCAAAAGTCGGCTTTCTGATGTGACTGAAATATGTGGGGTCTATTTTGCGCAATAATTAGGGTCAGATGTGGTTGTGTAGCCGCACCTGAGGTAAACACACCCCAGCCGCCTGGAATATGGGATCGGTGGTGATAGGCGTTTTTGCAGGTGGGGGCGGGGAACACACAGGCGACGAGGCCGAATAATTGTATGCGAAATAAAAGCCATTGGGAATGCGCAGTTGTACCTTGAGTGGTTGGGAAATAATTGCCCTAATCCCTAATTCTAACCCCTAACAGTGTTGCGTCCCTCAGGTTCGACTGCACAATCACATCTTACCATAATTAGTACGACGACCCTACTTAAGTAATCTTTTCGAGTCGAACATACATTTCAGAATTTCAATTAACATTTAATCGATCGATCTATCGATTATCCGATCCGATAGAAGTATGCGATCTCACGAACTCGCTACAGGCATCCGGGTATAACTGATTGACGCGCCTTGTCAGGGGTAAAACATTGCATGCAAGAGTGTGCATACCTTGCTTATTTGTGAGCCGTGCTTTTGGTGGAGTTCAATCACACAAGATGCGGGACCAGCAGGCGTGTGGTACGTGTAGACTGCTACCTTGACTGTCGCATGGGAGGGTGTGGTGGGCACTGAAGAATACCTCCTCACGACCCATCAGCACATTCTTCACGCTATGTCGGCGGAAATGTTCACTGCGATTCGCCCATATCATTGGAAGTTTCCGCCTAATTACTTTCGCTGATCCACGCATGGGCTAACACAACCGCATCCTGCCTACACTAAGTCAACCTGGAGGCCTAAAGACAGTGCGTGAAAGACTGGACCATAACTTATTTTTTAGTAAATTCCCAACTTATTCCAAACGGCCGTCAGCACGCCTAGAGGTCTGCTGCACCAAACTGCCATTGCAGGTTAATCGCGTCCACCCCCGAAGACTAGAGGGCATTTGCAAAGAGTGAGAATCCGAAACGTCAGGCTAATAAAGCTCTTCTTCCAGTGATCGTGTCTCCTTCTTAGCGAATATGACTTACACCCCTGAGCGGCAAAATCTCCGAGGCACTGACCGATACTTAGGGCTTAATCCGTGACAGGTAGCCTAAATTACATTGGTTATTTAAAATAAAAAAATTGCTGCATACGGAGCGACACCTCGTGCACGGACCACGAACGAGCGTATACTTATACAAAAAACATACTCTTTAATCCGTCGCGCCGGTGAAATTTGCTCTTATTCAGCGTTGTCCTGCGTGTATGGAGTCCCGCATGGAGAATAAAGGCATTCCGAAGCTGACTGTTTCGAAGAATGATTAAATCGCCGAGGAAGACTTGTTATTACTCCCTCCGCATTCCTAGCTATGGTCCGGAAAATTTTATCTGAGTTTGGTTAGGTTTTGAGTCGGGGCCAAATTTAATGTTGGGGTTGAGAGTAGGATTAGTATTACAGTAGGTGTGCTAACTCAAGAGATGTTAATCGAAATTCTGAGATACGTTTTCGTCCCTAAAAGATTATTTAAGTAGGGTTTTAAAATTAATCATCGTTCAGCATAATTCTATACTAATTCCGTTACCTAAGGATGTCGGCTTTCGAAGAAACTTCTTTCCGGCTGCATGCAAAAACCATACTTTGTAAAAATTACTATCTGAGAAGCATGCATTTTTTCTCGATGAATTTCAATGCCCTTGAAAATTCGATCATATTTCACGGAAAACATTCATAAAAATATTCATTCCTTTAATCGTTCGGTAGAAAATTACGTCTTATTCTAATTTTATACTCGACGGAAGGGTATAATTCGGTTTTCAGAAACTTTTAGAATTCTCGAATAATTTTGAATCTAACCTGCAGTTACACTTGCATTGAGGATTTCCAAACTACAGGCCTATATTTTCCCCGTATGGAAAACCGCACACATCTCTACGGTATTAAGAGCGAATCATATAAGGTTCATAAAATTTGGCAGTGGATTTGAACCATATTATGGATTTTACAAACAATATTTGCAAAGGCAGAGCCACGATGTTTTATAAACGAGCTTTTCGTGATATTAAAAACGGTAGGATGGGGTTTGGTAGCCCCACCTGATGGACACAATACCGTTGGAGTTGGGGTCAAGGGTAATGGTTAGGGATTAGGGCTAGGTGTTAGGGTTTAGAATTAGGGGTTATAGTTAGGGATTGGGCTTAGGGTAAGGGGTTAGGGCAACTATTTCTCAAACACTCGAAGTACAATCGCGCATTCTTAATAGTTTTCTTTTGCATACAATTACTTGACCTCGTCGCAAATGCGTTCCCCGGCCCTACCTGTAAAAACCCCCTTTACTTCCGGTCTCTTATTAGAGCTGTTTGGGGTTTGTTTACTCCAGGTGGGGTCACATGACCAAAATCAGAAATTTTTTCTAAAGCCAAATTATCCATTTCGTTCGAATATAAGACTGGAAGCCGACGTATTTTCCTACCAAATGGGTAGTAGAGTGAATACTTTTATGCATATTTTCCATAAAGTGATTAAATTTTTGAGGGCATCAAAAATCGATGAGAAAATTCATGCTATATTTGTAGTCATTTCTTACAGTGTGTGGTTTTTGCATGCAGCCAAAAAGGAGCTCCTTCGAACGCCGACATCCTCAGGTAACTGAATTATTATAGAAATGTGCAGCATGATGATTAATTTTAAAACCCTACTTAAGTGATCTTCTCGAAACAAAAACGCATTTCAGAATTTCGGCTAGCATTTCTTGAGTTAGCACACCCACTGTAGGTCCAGGGTTAAGTTGTAAGTATGAAGGTGACCAGCCGAGCACGGTAGTAAGTTGTTTACTATTATGAACTTTCGAACTCTTGTGGGAGTCTATCGTTAAAGATGACAGTAGCGACGTAAGGAATGACAGCTGTAGAATGGAATGACCAATCAGCGGCCGGCGGTACAAGTCTGGGGATGACTGCGCAGGACTCTTCGTGCCGGCGCCATGTCGATACATGGATTGGCTGAGTCCTCATCCGGAATCCAGGCCTCCATCAACCTTCAGTTTGTCTTGCTTCTGATGCGGTCGATAATCTTGGTGATCACGAAGTTGAACTCGTGACCCGTTTCAAAAGTGCAAGCAACCACTTGCAATGATTCGCCGCCCAATGTTCGTGTGTGCGCGGTCCAAGCATGCGTTCAGTCTGACCTCTGTATTTAAAAGAGCAGTTTAGGCAGGGGGTTTAGGACTTGAGTAAAGTCTAGCGCTAAACCTGGGGTTTTGCCTGTGCTCCAAGTTTATGCGTTAAAGCCACGCCTCCACGATTTTATTTACCCCTCAGGCTGTGGACGCGGATGAAAAATTAGAGGGCCGTGTCGGGAAAGCGGTTGCTGCCCCTCCCTGTTTTCCTGTTTGTTTCTCTGATTTAATTCCCTAAAAAGGGCCTGCGTTGCAGATGCGCCGGACGGGCTCGAGACACACATTTGTCGGTCAGTGCTGAGTCCGCGCGAACCCATAATTACTACCGTACATGGGAGCCTGTCACGTCCCAGATAGAGACCTTTACGCCGCTCCAGTTGCCGTCTCCAATCCCACCGCCAGCTGGTTGACAGCGTGTGTATGTGTGAAAGAGAGAAAGAGCGAGTGGATGAGGTCGGCATTGGAGAATCTATCTTTACGGGATATGGACGCAGTCCTCGTTACAATGAGTCCGACGTACCTTTAATTCGTCGCTGTGTGCTAAGAGTCGTGGCAAGGAAGGTTACCTTTGCAGGGCAGAGAGCCAGGTTGCAACGGCTCCTTGTTAATATGGTCTTTATGACACTGGCGCATGTGGAATCCTAGTACGACCAGGTCGCGTGTGCAGCACCCGTAGATGATGTGTTTAACCTTGTCGATCACTGTGCCTGCGCCCACATTCAGTCGGCTTGATGCTGTCTTACCATCGGAGCAAGAGGAGAGAGAGAGTCGGTAGATGCTGCGCCCATCCCGCGGGCTGCGCGGCACACCGTCGCTTGTGACGATCAGACTGTGGTCTCCAAAAGAAACAGCAGTTTTCCGCTGCATGCCTGGCCCTGAGTTATTTTGATCAGAACACTCACCTAGGCAGCGCAAGTTTTTTTGGTCTGGTGAGAAACGTGTGTCTATATTGTATGGGCACGAAGAGCCATTGTCTTCAAATGACACAGACAGGCCTGTGGGTCTGATTAATTATCATGTACAAGGTGTAATCCCGTTTGGTCACTTTGTAAAAGATGGCCAACTTTTGCGGAAAATCAACATGCACACTTCTGTATTTGTTAAGTTCGTAATATCGTGCAATTGCATAACATAAGAGTGCAAGCGTATTTGTCCTTTTTTGGTAAAAGTGAATTTTCGAGGAACTTTGCGGGAGGAGAACAGCGTTCGTTAAACTCCAAGAGGTCTGGAAAAAACTCATCCAATTGGAGTACGTGGGTCATTGGGCCGACTCAGGTTACAGGTGTCCCAAAAGTGTGCAGTGTTCTGTTGGGCGTCCCCAATCAACGGGATAATTCGGTCCTCCTCTCAGGACAGGGAGTCAGGCTGCAGTAGTGCTTCTTTATGGCCCTCCCACTTAGTTACGATCGGAGCAACCCCCTCTATCTTCTTCTTTGTATGAAATCCTGGCGTTTTGTGCGCGGATCGGGAGATGTGGTGACACCCCTGGGCCTGCTTGGCCACATGCGCGGTAAATCACCACAGACCAAACCCCAACAGCCCACAGTTCCTTACCAACACACACAACACACACGAAACCGTCCAACATCCTCCACCAAGACACTTGATAGGTACCTTCCACATAAATGGAAACGTGGTCTTCGGCTTGTTTTCCATATGGACTCTATATCATGCGACACTGCGCAGCTGCTGGTTGGGCTCGAGAGAGAGCCCGTAAGGCACAACGGAACGAGTGAATTCCATAAGAACGATCGGTGAAGGCCACCTGCCATTATATGTTCCCGATCGAAACCGACAGAGCAACGGACTCGTGGCCCAATGGTTATAGGCGTGGACTTCTAACTAACAGGTCGTGAGATCGAGCCTCGGGTATCCCACAATTCGGGGTTGGGTATGAATGGCTGACGACGGTTAATAAGTCCGAAATGCCCAATTCAGTCTCCCCCTTTTCTTTGTCGGTAATACCATTCTGCCTATATCATGCGTCACTGTGTGGCTGCTGGTTGGGCTCGAAAGAGAGAGAGCCCGTAAGGCACAACGTAACGAGTGAGTTCCGTAAGAACGATCGACGAACGCCTCCTACCACTAACAGTGGGGCTAAATCGGTGTTCAGCAGGCGTTATTGGGAATGGGCATCCATAACAAATGCCAACAGTGGGGTGTGGCAGCGTACCCCATTGCAGGCTCACGCCGCGTCGAATCAGATCCCACGCGCTCCCCCCTTTTTTCTTGTTGTGTAAAATCATGAACCAAGAGGCGTGGTGGCATGCGTTAAAGTGTGAAGTTTTGCCGCGCCAGTCACCTGTGCCCTCTTTCTCCTGTCTTCTTCATTCTGCCATGGCACCGGGAGGAGGGGGAGTGCGATGGGTGCAGTGAAAGTCACTGTTCCTGCATCCACCCTGTTGTGGGGCATAGGGCGGGCACCATCGGACTCGATGGTCAAAATGTCATCTCCAACTCGAAGGCCCAATCTCAATCTCCACTCGAGCGACCTGTTCTGTAAGATTACATGGCGAGTTTCATGTTTGCGGAAAAATGACAGCTTCTTTTCAAATAACAAGACTTTGGATAGATGAGAAGATGCGAATTGCCAGAAAACGTACAAAATTTAAGATGCATTATTACTGAGCAAAGATAATCGAAGTATGCTGGAGTGCTTAATGGCATATAGTCCGAACGGGCAGGTGATCATCGTTCCTCCTACCTGCAAAAGTCACATTCTGTGAGAAAACACTTGCTCAGATGGTACACGCAATTTCCCCTGATCGCGTAGATCCAATCCTAGTTTGTGGAACAATAATCCAAAAACACTTTTTATGCGGAATTTTATCTTACTTTAAATATGCAATAGGTGGGCTAACTCATGAAATAACCGAACTTTCGAAATGCGTTCTCGCTTTGAGAAGATTAATTAAGCCAGAGTTGTAAACCTTCTCATCATGCAGCATAATTATATTATCATTCAGTTACCTCAGGATGTCGGCTTTCGAATGAAGTTATTTCCGACTGTATGCAAGAACTATACTTTGCAAAAAATGACTGCATGAGTAGCATGCATTTTTCTCATTGATTTTCGATTCCCTTAAATAGTTAATTATATTTCATTGAAAACATGCATACAAATATTCATTTTTTATTTATTCACTAGAAAATCACGCCTGCTTCCAATTTTATACTCGAAAAAAAGGTATAATTCGGCTTCAAAAAAGTTTGTTACTGTGAGATTTGTTAATACCGTGAGGTGGCCGTTCATAAAATGTCATGTATCTGCATTTACCAACGTGGCTTGTAAAGTTAAAAATATTGCTCAAATGCACTGCTCAATTTTATGAACCCCGTATAGTCTCGTCTTTATACCTTGGAGAAATGTATGGGTTTCCGTACACGGAAAATATACGGCTTGTAGTTTTGAAACCCTGACTGCAAGCGTAACGGCAGGTCGAGTTCGAATTAGTCGGGAATTGGAAGTTTTTGAAAACCGAATTGTACATTTTCTTAGAGTACAAAATTGGAAGAAAACTTAATTTTCTACCGAATGAGCAGGAGAATAAATATTTATATGCATGGTTTCCATGAAGTATAATTGGACTTTTAGAGGCATCGAAAATCAATGAGAAAAATTCATGCAACATAAGTAGTCATTTTTTGCAGAGCATAGTACTTGCTTTCAGTCTAAAACAAGTCCATTCCAAAGCTGACAACCAGAGGTAACTGGATCATTATAGATTTATGCTGCATGATAATTAGTTTTTGAACCCAACTTAATTAACCTTTTCGACACGAGAACTCATTTCGAAATTGCGGTTGACATTTCATGAGTTATGCTACCTACTGTACATATGAAACTAGAGTGTCTTCCGAGTTTATAGTTAATTATTAATTGTTTTGCTTTTCTTAACCTGCTTCAAGCTCAACTGGAGTCCCGTAATACAATGTTACCCTCCTTTATTCTACAGCAAAGAGATTTCCTGATCGTTAAACATCTTTCCATAATTACGGAACAACTAAAATGCTCAAACAACAACCTTCCAATGGTGTTCAGACAATAGACCGCACAAAAGTCGTGTGGGTGTCTGCAAAATCCCAAAAGTAACGTCATTTTAAAGACGAAACACATCTTTACGTAGAAAGTCTGCGACATTATTTTCCGTAAGATGGATATAAAGTAATTTTAAGGAGCGCGATCTCTAGAAACCCTTACTAGGTTTTTGGGGGCATCGAAGATCAAAAGAGAGGGGCGAACTATGAAAATAGCCGTTTTTAAATGAGAAAGTTTTTTAATTGATCAAAAACCTATTCGTTGTGGACGTTTATTTTATTCGCATTGAAGTTTCATGTTTAGGAGGGTCTACACATATGACCCAAACGCCCATCTACATGTAAAAGAATTCAAGAAATTTTTCATAGTAATATGCAAAATATATACATACGGAATAATTTATAATAATATGGAATCTGTCCTTATGGACAGTCGATTGAAAAAGACTGAAAATCATTCGTAAATTCCGACACCTGCTAAAATAATTGCCTGTAATATAAATCACAACTCGTATGTTTACTCCCTGATTCGTTAAGTCCAGCGTGTATGGCCCGTTCTTCCCGGTTTCGGAATCGCATGTGACCGGATTGTACTAACTGCAAAAGCCGGCAGATGCGATTTCCGATTCTGTTTTAACAAACGGAAGTGCAAAAATCAGCCTTTTTTTACAAAAGCGCACAACAGTTCACAAAGATCTGACATTGACATGGCTGCGTCTACGGCAGGCGTGATTAATTAGCCGAACATTTTCAGCACTCTAAAAACTCGGTTAAAAGCTAGTGATTTACGAGGCTGCTAGGATAAATTGACTCAGTGATAGTCAGGAGTGCCGAAAAAGAGCCCAAATAATGCATACGTCCGCAAATAAAAAAGCATAAATCGAAAACATGACGTGCCTTGCCCTTTTCTCCCATAAAATTCCGCATTTGGGATTGGAAAAGACTTAAAACCCTTTATTTTCAAAACTGGAAATAAAGGGTTTTAACTAATGCGGTCCAAGTTAACAATGAGCGCTTATATTTTTCCGCGGTTATTTGCATCGTGAACATAGTTTGAAATGTTTTGTTAACAAAAAATATTTTGAAATTCGAGAAACATTTGCTATAAATTACGTCAATCACAGAGTACGCATTCAGAGGGCAGCGTGCTGTTTTTGAACTTAACCAAACCGCTGAAAACATCTCGAAAGATGTGGTTCCGACTAGCCAACCGTAGGCGTCTAAAATTGCGAGATTTCTGTCCGGGGGTAAGTTTTAGGCTTGAAACGCATACCCTTCAGTTGCCGTAGCCCAAGGTCATTAAATTAAAACAAAGAGGACAACGTACAGTGCGTGACCGATCTCATGAAATGTTGGCTGAAATTCTGAAATGCGTTTTCGATTAGGAAGGATTACTTGGTCGCGGTTGTAATACTGCTTAGTTTAAGGCATACTCTTATAACATTTTGGATTTAGCAGGATGTCGGCTTTTAAATGAACTTCTTTTCAATCTCCTGTAGAAAGCGTGCTGGTTGAAAAATGACTACTTAAGTAGCATGCATTTTTCCCATTGATTTTCGACGGTCTTGCAAATTCAAATATATCTTATAGAAACCATAAACAAAAATATGCTTCCTTTTAGTCAATCAATAGAGAATCACCTCTTCATTGTATTTTATACTTAAAAAAGGAGTATAATTAGGTTTTAAAAAAGTTTTCCAATTGCCGAATAATTTGGAGCCTGATCATTCGCTGCATCAGCGCTTAGTAATTTCAGTCTGCAAGGTGCATGCGTTCCGCTTAAAGCATATCACATATTTTTCTATTCCATTAAAGAGATATCATACAGA